ATGAAGCCCCTCAGACCCAAACTAAGCTGTTTCCCAATGTAGACTTTTGGACCCAGACCAAACCCAGGGCCCGAGGGGTCCCAGGGACAGGATGTGGCTCTTCACTAAGGCAGACCCCAACATGCCAGGCTGGCCACCCAGGCTACTGAAGTTTGGGGGTGACTAGCTGCCCAAGGCCATGGTGGGAAGCAATAGAGCAGGTATGTGCTCAGCAGCACCCCCATCTCTGAGCCCAGCCCCTGAACCCCTGACGCAGGTTGGGGCCAGGAGCGTGAGCTGAGAACTGGCTTTTCTAGCAAACACCAGAGGACCTTGATGCTTCTGATCCTGGTCCACTGTTTGGGACCCTGCTCTTGGTGGCTCCATTGCCAAGCCCCTCTGGTTCCTGCTACCCTTCTGCCCACAATGAATAATAGTACTGGGCTTAGTAGTACTTAGTAGTACTTAGGACCAGAGACACCCTAGACTCACCTCTGGAAGCAGTCTAGGGGTCCCCCCACAAACGGTAGGGAAAGGAAAAGAAGCCCATGTTGGTAGGGGACCCAGATGTAGCCACAGGCTCAGAGTCCCAAGTCCTGGCCTCAGGCACTGCTATTCCCACCCCTCATCCTTCCTGCAGGGCTGGACCCTGAAGGTGCTTTTTTTTTTTTTTCTTAAGTATCATTTCTTTTCCTTTTTTTATTGTCAATGGACCTTTATTTTTACTTATTTATATGCAGTGCGAAAATTGAACCCAGGGCCTCACACATGCCCGGCAAGTGCTCTACCGCTGAGCCCCAGCCCCAGCCCCAGCCCCACTGAAGGTTCGATGGTGGAGGATCCAAGGTGAAGGAATGAAGGTCCGTGAAGGAGTTGAGGCACACGGTGGACAGTGAGAAACGGAAGCAGCCAGGTCCAAAGGAAGACAAGTCCCTATGTTCCAGAAAGTTCTGCGTCTTGCTTCCCGTTCCCCAGAGGCCCAGGGAAATTCTTTGGTCTGGAAACTCCCTGGGACAGAGCAAGGCAGAATCCTAGGACACAGAGGAGGTCCAGTGCCTCATTTTCCTACCAAAGAGAAAGAGTCACCAAGAAAAATGGGGACATGTGACCCCCAAGTCCTCTTCTCCACCCCACCAAGGGGGGCCTGCTGCCAGCTCACTGGCTCCCACCCCAGTGGGTGAAGTTCTCTTCTAGATGCTGCCACACAAACCTTTTTTAAATGCAAAACTGTCTAATATACCAAGGGGGAGAGGAGCTTATGAAATGTAAATCAAATTTCTCTTTGCAAGGCAGACCCATCACCCACTGCCTCCAACATCCTGAATGTTCTCTTAGAAATCAAATCCAGAGCCTTTGCCAATCATTTCTCTTTTTAAAAAAATATTTATTTTTTAGCTTTTAGGTGGACACAATATCTTTATTTAACTTTTACGTGGTGCCGAGGATCGAACCCAGTGCCTCACGCATGCCAGGTGAGCATGCTACCACTTGAGCCACATCCCCAGCCCAGTTTGCCAATAATTTCTACTTATATCGAGTATCTCAAAACCATGCCAGACCAACCCTCTAGAGACAAAAGTGGATCCGGGGACAAGGAGGGACCAACTGGCATAAAATCAAACCCAAGAACAAAGGGAAGGACAAGGGAGGACAGTAAGTAAACAAACACATCAACTCAAGGGGACAGAGTCAGAACCAAGAGGAGACATTGTCCCCTAAGTCACTGGGCCCAGGCCTCCCCCAGTCCCTGGGGAGGCAGACTTATAAGGTGACTCCAAACACACTGCAGAGGCCACGCCTCTCTGGTTTTTAGTGCTCTATTTTCCCAGGTGATCTGTTATTCTTTAGGTCAATGACTTCTTTCTTTTCTTTTTTTTTTTTTTTTTTGATGACTTCTTTATTTTTTATAATAATCTGCCCTAAGGAATACTGAATCTCATGGTCCTTAGGCTTTTATTCCCAAAAAGCATGGAAGCTGTATCTCAATTGACTTATTTCTAGTGAGTCTTTTTGCCTTGAAGTCTTTTCCTTAGAACACCATTGTTCAGTATGAGTTGGGATTTTTTTTTCCCTATCTTTTCCCATCCCTGTACATTCTTATGTGTGTGATTTTTGGGAAATAATTGAGTTAGAATTTTTTAAATTAAACCTGAAGATTTTATCTTTTGTTAATTTACACCATTTACGTTTATTTTGCTGGTAAATTTTATTTCTGCCATCTTATTTTGTGCTTTTCATTATAGTGCTTTTTCTTTGCCCCACCCCATCTTTTCTGTCTTGTACTAAACCAACCAAGCTCTACATTCCAAAGCTATTCTTCCAGTTGTTACCCTTTCATTTTGAACTATATAAAACTCAAAATGAACCAAGGTAACCCTATCTCTAGCCTCCCAATAGCACAGAGCCCTTAGTATTCTTTAATTCCACCTCTCACTATTCTCGGCTGTAACTGTCCACTATTGTAGTGAGCTTGGTTTCTCAATGGTTTAGATTCACTACAAGTTTACCAGTTTCTCTGTTCACCACCATCCTCTGGGCTCAATTCTTGTCTTCCTTAAAGGATATTCTTTAGTGATTTTTTTGGGTGGGTGTATGGGAATGATTTTTTTAAAAAACTTTGAAAATGTATTTCTCTTACTTCTTAATACCAGTTAAGCTCAATAATTTTTTCAGCATTTAAAAGATTCCATGATTTTTTGACTCCTATTGAAAGTTTCTGCTTAAAGATCCTTCCTCTTTAAGTACATACCTGTAAATTTACTTTAGTGAACTTTGTTCACGTTTGGCAGTTTGACTCCTGAGAGCCTAGGTATGGATCCTTTATCTGATTTGAGATTCCTTTGGACTCTCCTGCTTCTGAGGATGAAGCAATCAGTGCTGGAAGGTCATTAGTCATACTTCTTCATTCCCTCTCTTAGGAGGGGGGAATTGGAGATTGAACCCACAGGCACTTTACCACTGAGCTACAGCCCCAGGCCCTTCTGTTTTGAGGCAGGGTCTCACTAAGTGGCCGAGGCTGGTCTTGAACTTGAAGTCCTCCAGCTTCAACCTCCCAAATAGCTGGGATTACAGGTGTGTACCACCACGCCCAGGTCAATCATGTATGCTCAACCTGTTATCTGAAGTTCTTAGGATTTTTACACCCATTGCTGCATGTGGTTCATTTCCTTGTTTTATAATTTAGGATCATAGGCCCCATCTGTGGGAATCAAATGTAGCAGTGTTGGGACTAAGTACTGACCAATTTTAATTTATTTTCTGAGTTCTTGGATTATAAATCTGTGAAAGGTACAGCCTGAAATTTTTTAATTTTTGAATCCAGGAAGATTAAAACACTTATTCTTTTTAATATTAATTTTTTAGGTGTAGTTGGACACAATATCTTTATTTATTCATTTTTATGTGGTGCCAAGGATCGAACCCAGGGTCTTGCCCGTGCTAGGTGACTACTCTACTGCTGAGCCACAACCCCAGCCCAAAACTCTTACTCTTGATTCATTCATTTGTGTATTTGGTCAAAAAACATTTTTTTTTTTTTTGGGAAAAAAAACCCCAAACCTCTACTTTGTGCCATGAGGTTACTGTCCAGTTCCCACTAAGCTGGTTCCTGGCTTTTTGGGGAAGTTCTAGCCTCAAACCCTCCCTTTTGTAGGTCAACCCTTGCACATTCAAGCCTTGTTAGCCCCTCACCCTTCAATTTCCCCAAGAGGCTAACCACCACTTGCAGGGTACTCTGATAGGCTTCCAGGGTCACTTGTGTCCTGCATCTGGAACCCCCCCCACCCCCAGCAAGCCATCACCCACTTAACTTCCTGTTACTGATCATTGAAGCAAGGGGGTTCTCAGGCCATCTTGTTCTCTTGTCTGTAAAGCTCAGCCCAAGGTGAGTGTGGTTACTGAGCCTTCCAATAGCAATGGTCAGCTAGTAGGTGTAAAAAATGTTCTAATGTGACACTTCCCCCTCTCGGGGAGTACAAGGAGGCAACACTGATGTGTCCTCTTTCTCTGGTGCCCAAATCGAAACCAGGAGATACTTGGATTCTCATCAGAACCCAAGCCATGCAACCCTCTGCTTCAAAACTGCAGCCCCTCACCAATGAGCCCTGATCCTCCATGACACGCAGAAACCACCAGGCAGCTGTTCAGGCAGATGACATGATAAACTCATGACCTTGCTTTATGAGTTGATTTCCCCCCCAGTATCAGGGGGGAAACCCCAGGGCTTCACCGTTAGGCAAATGTTAGACAAATGCTTTACCCCTGAGATATACCCCCAGCCCAGGCAGTGCCTGGCAGACAGAGGGGTAAGTTTCATGGGCCTGCTCTTAGCAGCCAGGCTCAACACTGAGCATGAGCAGGGCCCTAATTGTTCACATGCAATGAAATGTAACCCTTAGGTAAGCAAGTCTGGAGTTGACAAATCAGAAAACACAACACATCCAGTTAAAACTGAGCAGGGTGCCTTTTCCAGAAGTAGGGTCAAGGCACTGGTATTTTAAAAGCTCCCAGGAAACCCAGCATACCCAAAGCTGAAAAGATAGCAGGCCACCCACAGTGAGGCTGCCCTAGCACTTAAGACCCTCCTGAAGCACGACCGACCCACACTTCTTCTGTGGGTCTGCCCTCAACCTAACTTTCCAAGTCCGGGACATTCATCAAGCACCTTTGGGTACAAAGGCAAAACCCTCTACTGTGTAACTCTGAGTTCACCTTATCCAAGGTGGAGTTACCACCCCAAACACTTCAGCTCCCACAGGATTACTTCCTCATTTGCCAGTCACTCATCCTTCAAAGCTGTGCTGAGGTGTAGAAATGGACAAAAACTTGTCCCCTCCCATAACCTCAGAAAGCAGGAACAGCAGACCCCAAGACTCATCACACCAGTGGCCCCACTGCAGAGAACTGTCACCCTCTCCACTAGGCCAATCCCACCTAGTGCCACCGGCTCAGCATTCTGTGCTGCCCCTTTGCAAATCTGGCTCCACATCCCTGCCACCTTCTAACACTTCAGACCTACTTACCTGTTTTTTCCTCTTCAAGAGTAACACTCCAGAGCGAGGAATTCCTCCTGGCTCTTGGCCCCATCTCCAGGCCGAGGACAGTACATGACAAGGCGGCTTTGTAGCAGAATGAGCAGCTGGAGACCCAGGGGTGCAGCATGCAAGGACTGGTTAGCTTGGGGACAGACAGGAGTTGTGAGTTCTAAAAGGCTTTAGGAAGGCAGGTGGCACTGTCAGGAAAAGGATTTTACAGACAGGTACAGACCAGAAACCCCATAGGTCAGCTGGGTGAGGGGGAGGCGCTCAGCCCCATGTTTTGAGATGGGAACGAATGCAGGGGCCCAGGAGTGGCTAGCCCATCGCTGTCAGAAAGCGAAACTCAGTTCTGTTCCCAAATCCCACCTGCAGTGCAGCTGCTGCTGCTTCTGGGCCTCCTAGGTACCCTGTGCCAGAATGAGCACAAGGGAAATACCTCCCCCAGAACAGATGAAAAGCAAACAGATTTGCAAGCCTTTATGAAAAATGCTTTTTCTTCCTCAACTAAAATGTAAATTTTGCCAATCAAGGAACTGACATAAGAACAGTTTCATTTCAATCATTTAACACTTGGTGCAGTATTCAGCGTTAGTCAACAATGAAACGCTTCATGCTGAGAGTTTCCCTTTAAACAGATTAGGAAACAATCTGAGTTGAGAGAAATGAATTCCCACATTACTGAGCTGATGGGAGGTAGAATCCTAAAATCACTTCCCAACTTACATCTGGCAATGCAAGGCAAAGGGTTCATTTTAGTGTCACACAAAGGTAAGGACAATATAACCCGAATTTATTAACTTTAAGCAACAATAATTTAAGATACAAGAGTCCCATATTATAGGAATTCAAAGACTATACAATAAAAGGAAACTGACAAATGGTCAGCTAATACACAACCCAATCAGTTAACAAACAGAGCCAAAGATCAATACAAGTCATGCACCATCTTCTGTGTAACACCTTGGGTTTTTTTATTCCAAAGGTAGATTGATCTAAACTGGCTGTTAACTATACCTCTACCTGAAATTACCTGTTAAAGAATTCACCAGGTGATGCTTATATTTAGGCATATGTTAGAATAGTTAGAACAATGTCTTTAAGATAATACTGGGTGATTTTTCCCCCCCCAAAACAAATAAAACCTAAATAGACATAGAGTAAAACATATTTTCTAATTACAGAGACAAGTAAAAATGATCAAGTCTCAACAGTACCTACTTACAAAGTTAGAAATAAACACAACATCTAGGAGAGCCAATTTCAGTTCTGGTTTCACCACTATTAATAGGAAAGCTGAGACAGGTCACTTTGCCTAAGGATGATCTGAAAAGTCATAATAGCATTTTAAATCCAAAGACCTTTAAGTCTTTTCACACCAAGTAGAAATTGAGGAAAGTACAATCTGAGAAACAATGATACTGTTCCTCACATGTCACTGGGTCACTAGCAGTCACCCAAATCACACCTCAATTCCCAGTGACTTAAGTTAGAAGCTGCTTGCCCTAAAACACATCATTCTTCAGTTGAGCAAGACATGCTGACACCCTACCTGGGGTCCAGAGTAAAATAAACAAATCATCTTCTACTGGCACCAGCTATCTACATACACACAGGACTGACTTAAAAATCTATTGAATTCTTCAGTTCATTAAAGAAAACAAAATCTAAATTACATGCTTAGTCAACAGAAGTTTAACTTTAGCTCAGTGAATTTTGAATTGGCCATTAGTGGTAAGTACAACACTTTGCATTTGTTGTAGAAACCAAACAAATCAGGCTTTTCCCTTGACAATACAATGTTCATTTGTGTGTAAAGTGCCAGTTTTATTTACAAACTAGTTAAGTAAACTTTAAAGTCTTCTTTGTAGCAGTGAGACTGACATCTGAACTGTCTGGTGGTTGGTAAATGTTCAATCCTGCTGGGGCAGGCTTGCTTGAGGGTTCCTCACTTTGAAGCCAGATCGTCATCATTAGTGCTGTGAAGCTGGACAGCCTGCTTGCCAAAGCCAACAAGGATTCTGAGGTAGCTACACGGTTTTTTAGATGCCATTAATGAACATATGGACAATGGTGTAGCTGGTGGATTCATTTTAGCTGATTTGGGGGGATGGCAGGTAAGGGAGTGGGGGGGGGAAATCAGCCAAATAAAAGCATATCTTCTGTTCATTTAGAAGTCAGCATCCAAGGTAAAAGAATTATCTGTTGGATTCGACATCACTCCCATCCTCTGATACTCGCCTACTCTCTTCTCAAAGAAGTTAGTCTTCCCTTCTAGTGAAATATTCTCCATAAAGTCAAATGGATTTTCTACTTTGAAAACCTGAAAAAGTTCATATCAAGACATAAGTACCAAAAAAAAAAAAAGACCCTAAGTACAAAACTCCAATTTCAAAAGAAGCCGAAGACTACAAACAATGCTTTACCTTGTTAAAGCCCAGCTCCAGCATAAGCCTATCTGCCACAAATTCAATGTACTGCTTCATCAAAGTGCAATTCATCCCAATTAGCTTCACAGGCAAGGCTTCTGTGAGGAACTCCTAGAGACCAAAAACAATTTGAGTATCCCGAGGCATGAAGATATCCTCAAGCAAGCACCAGTGACCCTCACCTAGCACCCACCTGTTCTATCCTGACAGCATTGATGATTATTTCTTTTACTCTCTGCTCTGATGGTTTGTGCAGCAGGTGTTTGAACATCAGGCAGGCAAAGTCACAGTGTAAACCCTAGAAGAAAGTTGAAAGTTCGAAATCATGATAAAGTCAGAATTCTATTGTTAACATGGAATATGAATTGCTTCATTCCTTACTATATCCTCATACAACTTGCCTGGCCACACTGAGACTGTGGACTGTCAAGGGGATGACGAATGACTGTCCACTCTGCTGATGTCAATGAGGCAGACCTCAGCCCCACCCAAGGCTCTCAAAGCTGCCCCCTAGGTAACAGGCCAGGCCTTTTCCTCACTGCCCTGTGGCGTCCAAAAAGGAGTGAAACTTTGCACAAGTATTCTTTTCACAGCCATGGGCTCTATAATTTTGCCTCTATCCCCAGAGGGACAGGGCAGTTAGCTTTTAGATGCTCAAGAACTAAGGATGCAATTTCAAGTGAAACAAATCTGCAAATCTGAGTGCATTAAACCCAATAAGCTCCAGTTTATCTTCCTACAAGGGAAGATCAGCTGTTCGATCTGCCCATTGGGCTCCAGAAATGGGAGGGTTCATGCTCCTTGCCCTTCTGATGCGATTTAAACCAGATAGTCTGGGCATCTTCACCTTCCTTCCCTCAGTTTAATCCAAGTGCCTATAAAGGCAAGCTGGAACCAAGTGGATTACTTCATCAGGAAGCTTACCAAACTTTGAAATATAGTAGGCTCCATGAACCCAACTACCATGTACACTATAATGCACCAATAAAAGAAAAAGAAAAAAAAAAAAAACATACACGTACAGAATCACAGAATACCAAACAAAATAAATACTCCCCAAAATCCCATCAAGTACTCTTAGTTTTGTGCTCTTATACATATAATAGGTATGTGCATAGGAATGTATTATACTGAAGATGAGTAAAATATGGAGTACTCAAAGCACTTCATTCTTTTCCGAGTATGTATGCAGCTGAACTCTTAAATGTGGAGGCGATGCCATTTGATAACCTGGGACCTGACCTTCAGTGAACACAAGGGTGGGCCTAAGAGTGGCAGATATTTGGGGTGCCACTTTAGCCAGTTTGATTCAGACTCACCTCGTCTCTGCTAATAAGTTCATTGGAAAATGTGAGGCCAGGCATCAGTCCTCGTTTCTTGAGCCAGAATATCGATGCAAAAGAACCAGAAAAGAAGATTCCCTCCACAGCAGCAAAGGCTACAACACGCTCTCCTGTGGAAGAGTCAATATCAAAATGTTCTTTGCGAGCAACTGTTGGTATTCACAGGAGGCCAACAGCCGGGTTAAAAGAAAAGCTCAGGTTTAACTAGGACCAAGGGCTTCCTTACCATAGGTAGCCTCTTTGTCCCCAATCCAACGCAAGGCCCAATCGGCTTTCTTCTTCACACAAGGCATTGTTTCAATGGCATTGAAGAGAAATTCCCTGTAGGTATAGTAATACATCATGAGCAATGATGGTGAAGAACTGACCCCAAACTTCTAAACAAGAGCACCGGGTTAAAGGTCAAATGTAAGGGTTTACCAATTCTCTCCCCCAAAGGAAGGACTCAAAAAAAATTTTTTTTTCCTTTTTACTGGTCAGCTTTTCCCTCCAGACTTAAAAAAAAACCTCAACAATCATTTGACTTATGTTACACACATATTTAGGTATTCTTTAGTTCATATTGAGCTCCAACATCTACTTACACTAAAACTCAGTCCATTATACCAGGATTATCTATTTTTACAGTGCTGGGGATTGAACCCAGGCCCTCATGTGGTATAAGCAATCTGAGTTCTACTCCCAGTCCTTTCACAGATTTTACTGAAGATGCCCAGGATGGCCTAGAACTTTCAATCCACCGGCTTCAGCCTTCTGCATAGCTGGAATTCCAGGCATTCACCACTAGACCTGGCTCTCCAGAACTTATGGGCTTCATCATTTCAAATCAACAGCCCCTACCTTCCTTAAATTTAAAGAACCATAAAATCTTAACTGCTATGCTGACTACTATCCCACTAAATGGACAGTCCTATCAAAGACCACACTGGGTACATTAGCTGGGCCAATTGCCAACTATATAATTAAACCAAGAAGGTATCCTTACCACCACTCTCTGCCTCCCATTTATTCTGGGGTCCACTTGGGAGTACAGTGACATCCCTGCCCCTCCTTCCCAGATGACCTTGTTATCTGAGGCCAGTCATCAGCACCAAGCCAGCTTCATTCTCCTTGCATCTCAATGTCCACTTCCACTCAAAACCTCAGCCCGCCTCTCTCTTGCTTTTGAGGATTAACCACCAGACCTCCCTGACCATACTTACCCCTTTGGGTAACTTACCCAATCATGGCCCTGTTGTTACCTTTCCTATTTCTATCTATAAACATATCCAAATCTCTTTACTCCCAAAGAGTTTCTTCAAACAACCCATTGCTGATGTCCTCTTCTTTTCGATCTCCAAAACATAAATGGACCTTAAGCTACCTTTATTTTTCTACGATCCCCTAATACAAACTAATTTCAGCCCAACTGTCCTCCCTGTGCCTAAATTAATCTTATGGCTCAATGCTGTCTACATTATATGTCTAGATATTAATTTTCTGTACTATATTACAAACTTCCTAAGAGGTAAGTAATCTTTATCCTCCCTCATCACCCTGTCCCAACCCTATAATAAATTTGCCAAACCTCAATGTTAGTTTTTCACTCAACCTCTAAGGATGTTTTTCAAAAGAAAACATTAGATTTTTACATAGTGTACTTCCAACTCTAAAAAAGAAGGACCCTCAAAACATTAATTGGCTAATTAAGTGAATTTAGGCCCCTTATTCAGAGCAAACATGACCATGGGTGCTAGAAGTTTATGACAATCTGCTTAGTCATTCTAGAAACATTTTTATCCCTTTGAAAAAACTTGAAGTTATTAAGGGAATCCAAAACATCCTGGCATACCATTTGAATACCCACCTTTCTTTGGGGTCTTTAATGTAAGTGTCAATAAGGAGACTATACATTTCAGAATGTATGTTTTCCATGGCAATTTGGAAGCCATAGAAACAGCGTGCTTCTGTAATTTGAACTTCTTGGCTAAATCGCTCCACCTAGTGGTAAAACACATCAAAAGTTTGAGGAAAAAAGTTGGCGGGAAGTCAGTCAATGGATACTAGCAGCATCAGTCAATTCTTTGTATCTTTAAAAGGTTTGCTTCTTTCAAATTGTCACAATTCTGTGATAAGCAAAACATTTTATATGGTATGCTCAATTTGTAGACCAAGAAAGGAAACAGATAACTCCTATTTTATAGGATTTCTATGAACAGTAATTATTGATTCATTCCTTACTAAATCATTTCAAGAAAGACTGATGCAGGGAACAATGGCACATGCCTATAATCTCAGCAGCGAAGAAAACTGAGGCAAGAGAATCACAAGTTCAAAGCCAGCCTCAGCAATTTAATAGAGGCGCCAACTCAAAAAAAAAAAAAAAAAGATCTATGCAACCCAAATGTTAAAACAGCAAGCCTCAAAAAGGAGAGAACAAATGTGGCATCTACAGGGAATACATGTATTACTGCCACTTATAATGGAAGGGGGGGGGATACCATAAACTGCAAAGTGTTGCAAAACAGGAAATGCCATGTAATATAAGTTCTAGCTTGTACATGCATATACGCTCACTGTATGGAAAAAAAAAAAAAAGATGAGAAAAGCACACTAGTTCTAACTTAAATCTTTAAAAGTGAAGACTTTTTCACACTCACCAAATTCTCATTTACTATGCCATCACTTGCTGCAAAGAAAGCCAGAACGTGGGATATAAAATATCGTTCCTCAGGCTTCAGGGATTCCCAGTGCTGAATGTCCTTGGAAAGATCCACCTGACATTTGGAAGTTCACAACAGTTAGTATTAAGGAAAAGATTCAAGTGTGCAAGAGCTCACAAATACATACTTTAAATTTCTTTTAAGTCCACTACACCATTTGATCACTAAACTCTTCACGTCCGGATTCCCTTTGCCAGTGAGTGCATCTAGCATCCTCAGTGGAATGTAGTGCATGTCAAACCAGTTATAAGTGCCCTGTAGGGGTCTTTTAGGGTCAAAGCAGTGGCCAGTTCCTGAATGTTAGATGTTAACAATTACCTCCTCAGCTGTCCAAAAGGAAGCCTCAGCTTTCTTATACATCTGCCAGATATCATGGTATTCGATAGGAAAGATGACAAAGCGGCGGGGGTTCTCTCTCAGTAGTGGTTCATCCTCCACGCTGGGGGCAGGTACTTTAGTTTTCTGTTGGGAAAAATTGGTAAAAAAAAAAAAAAAAAAGTGTTGAGCGGACCACATGAAATTGCCATTTCCTCTGGTCAAATTATCGGGAATTTCATGTGGCTCAATGCATAACCATTAGCTGTCACTTTGCTTTCCATTTGCACGGGAGGACCACAGGACCCATGGGGGCACTTTGGCGGGAAAGGGCCGCGGGGAGGGGAGCAGGCCCCACAGCTGAGGAGACAATGCTGCTTTGGCGCCAAGCGCGGGCTCCTGGGGACGCCCCCTGTCGGCGGCGCCACTGGCCCCGGGAGAGCTCGGACCCTTCTCGCACCCCACGCCGGCCACTCACCGGCTCCTCGGGATCCTGGAAGATCCTCCTCGCGGTCTTGCTGGCCAGGACGCGGGTCGCGTTGAGGGCCGGGGGCTGCGGGGAGACGCACGTGAGCGACGGCGGGAGCCCCCAACCCTCCCCGCCCGCCGCCGACCGGCTCTGGCGGGCACTCACCGTGTTCTCCTTGTCGGCCAGGCTGAGCCTCTTCAGCGGCGAGAGCTGCAGCTGCTGCTGGTCTGCGATGGTGGCGAGTGGGGTGCGGACTGAGAGCATGGTGGTGGCGGTGGCAGACGTGGAGACGGTAGTGACCGAAGTGGCTAAGCAGGACCCCGAACACTAGCGGCGCTGCCAGCCCTCGCTCTTTAAATCCCCCGCCGGACTGCGCGCGCAGGGGGCAGGGCCGGGAGCTGGGCTCTTCCCATTGGAAGAGCCCGGCCCCGCCCCGCCCCCGCGGCGCGCGGGAGATTCAAGCGCCGAGCGGGAGTGCTCACCTCGCCCCGAGCTCTGCACCGCCGGCCGGGCGGGGACGCCGGGGCCCTTCCCTCGCGAGCTGCTAGCACAAAGACCGCAGCCCGGGGCGTGTCGGCGGCCGTGGCGCGCGCGGGCTCTTGCTGGACCGGAACCGTTTGGGATTGCGAGAGGCGTCGCGATTGGAGCCCGCCAGGAGCGCTAGGGGACTACCACCCCGCAGCCCCACCTCTCAGCAAACGTCTCCGAACCTGCCTGCCGCGGGCTCAGGGCTTTGCAAAGGAGGTCGGTGCACACACGCCTGAAAAATGCTCCCGGCTGCGGCAGAAGCGTGGCCACGACCATTTAGACTTGAGTCCCTGGGGTGGGGGTGCGAAGGTGCTGGGATCCGACAAATGATCTGGGGTTCGGCGATGAGCCGGCAGCCTAACAGCCGCTGAACCCCGCAGTTCCAGTTGGCGTGACCTGATTTCTTAAGGACTCGCTGTCCGCATTGGTAAACGGGATTAATAAAGTGAGAATGGTGCTAAATGAGATCCTTCCTGTAAAATGGGCAGTCCTTTGTACACCTTCAAACTAACCAAATAACTAAATGACAGAGCGAGGCTCTTGGTGCAGTCCCCTTTCCTTTCTCTAGTCAGACCACTGTCCCCTGAGTCGCACTTCTTTAAAAACTACAAACTGGGCAAAAATTCCAGAAAGTTCAGAGAATGATTAAAGAACTAGAAATTCAATTATGACTCACTAGGCATCACATAGGCCGAAGAGAGTGAAAACTCCCGCGGGTGAGGGTGGAGGCAGGAACTCACTAACAGTTTTAATTTGCTACTTGGCTTTCTGATTTGCCAGAGATGTTTTGCCCTCCAAAGGGCAAAAATGCCTGAAATAAGTGAAGAAAAAGAAACGTTAACACCCAGGAAAGAAATAATTAACCTAAGAAAGCTCCAGAAACTGCAAACAACCTTGGAAAAGGGAGGGGTAGGGAAGATAGTATACAGACTTGTGGTCAAGGTTCTCTCGCCTTAGAGACCAGTGAAAATCATTTCTCTTACAAAAAAGAACTAAAATCCAGCAACGTTTGCTTAAACCACATTGTCAACTTCACACGTACATACTTCAGCATCCAGCTCCAGAAAATGGATGTTTTTATTGATAAAGCCATCTAACAAAATCATCAATAAGTGTTTGGGATCGTTTAATACTAATTCGCATTCCAGTTTCCTGTAATCAATATTCGAAGTGCTGCGTTTGGTTGCTCTCTTGGACACCATGAGTTTTACTTGCTCCCGATGTCCACACCACGACTGAGCGGCAGTCAGAAACGATGGCTCCGTTTGTGGTTTGTTTACCGAGTACCCAGCACCTATCTTCGTGGGAAACTTGGAACCCGGGGAAGGTCGCCATCCGCCCCTCCCCTCCCCCAACCTCGGGTCTTCGGGCGTGCCTCCCCTCCCCCTAAGTCGGCCACCCCTGCTCCTCTAGGAGACGTGGCGCTGCCGGCGTCCAAACCCGGAGAGGCCCTGGCTGCCCGCCCCCGCAGGAGTGGACGCCCACCCCAGGATGCCGGCTGCTTCCCGGTGCCCGGATCTGTCCCGAGTTTCTCCAATTCGCTTTCGGCGCCGGTTTTGACATCTTCTCCACGATTGGTCCGGGGAGGTCAGGCTCCGCCCTCGACTCCCGAGAGGCTCCACTTAATCGCCATTAGGGCCCCGCCCACCCTCGGACCCCGCCCTCCCGCTGCCCGCGCTCAGTGAGCACACCCCAGCCTAAGCGCATTTGCTCCCTCGCCTTGAGTTAATTAGCAAGATTTCCTTTTTTTTTTTTCCTTTGTTTTTTTGTACGGAGGCTTGAATCCCTGGGACGCTCAACCACCGAGCCACATCTCCAGCCCTTTTTGTTTTTTATTTTGAGACCAGGTCTCACTAAATTGCGGAGGCTGGCCTTGAACTTGTGATCCTTCCTGAACTTTTGTGATCCTGGGATTTTAGGCATGCGCCACTGCGCCGGCTAATTAACAGGATTTATTTTCTTTTTTTTTTAAATTGATTTTATAGGTAACAGGATTTCTAAGCAGCTGCTCCATGAGAAACCCAGGCAGCCGGGGTCAGGTGCTTTTCCCAAAGCCTCCCTGCACTCTGGCCAGACGCTGCTGAGGGTTGTCCTCATGATCACAATAGCACCCAAACCCCTGGCAGCTGGGTCGGGTGATGTACATTTTTGATCCAGACAACAGGGAGGTGGGTATTTTTAGACCTGTTTTATAGGTAGGAGACCAAGGCCTGAGAGGGAACTGGCCCAGGTCCCACAGCTCCCGGATCCTCATAGCTAGAATGTGTTTCCTGCCTTTTTATTAGAAATGTTTTCAAAATGGAAGTCTCCAATGTGCACCCAGTATCTAGGGTTCAAAGTCTGTTCCCGTTTTGCAATATTTGCTCTATTCTCTGTGGGCATGTGGGCTTATGCATTTTTTTAGATCACTTGAGCTGGCTGACTCTTGTAATCTAAGCTATTCTGGAGGCTGAGGCAGGAAGATTACACATTTGATGCAGCCTGAGCACTGAGTGACACCATGTCTCAAAATAAAATAAAAGGGCATAGAGATGTAACTCAGAGATAGAGGGCCCCTGGTTTCAACCTCCAATATTGTGGCATGGGGGTGAGGGAGAAACTTGCAGATACAATGACCCTTTACCCTCTTAATATTACAATAGGTAATTTCCAAAAATAAGAACATTAGTATCACCATGGTATATATTTACACTTAAGAAAACTAACCATTCTCTAATATCAGCTAGTAGTCAGTTGTGAAAGAAATGTAAAAGTTGTCAAAATCAAGATGGAGATGTTTCCTCTGTCAACCCTAACAAAAATAAATAAAGCTGAGAAGTTAGAAAGAACGGGTTCTTACTAATGATTGCCTTATACTATCACAAAATACTCTGCCAGAAACACCAGCTTGCATAGAGCAGCCACAACCTCATACAAAATGTACTTCTATAATGCGTCTATCCAGCAACTGTGCTCAACCTTGGACTGAGGCCATTCTTACCATTAATCTTTGTGGCCAAGAGTCTGTTTCAACATAACTGAAATAGTCCTTATTTTTTCTTGCCTTAACCCCTGAATGTGCCCATAACATATTATGCACAAATGTCGCCTCTGCAGCGCCCTACCATTTATGTTGCAATGCTCTTCCCAAGTAAATATTATTCCTTGGAAGATCTCTGTGTAATTGTTTTTTTTCTAAATTTAGAACACCATGGTCCATAGTCAAATGTGTCCATGTGTCCAGTTGTTTAAAACAGTTTTATAGTTTTGCAGGTTGTGTTTGTTTTTATTTATTTATTTTGTAGTTGTAGATGGACAGGATGCCTTTATCTTATTTGTTTATTTTTATGTGGTGCTAAGAATTGAACCCAGTGCCTCGCACATGCTAGGCAAGCGCTCTGCCACTGTTACAGCCCCAGCCCCCTCGGGTTGTGTTTTGATCTCAGTATCCAATGTTACCTACATGCATTGCATTTGGTTATGTCCTTGTGTGCACACCACATCCAGGGCCTGGACATGCAAGTATTCTACCAGTGAGCTACATTCCCAGCCTAGCAGCTATGTCTTTTTTTAATTGGAAAAACTCCACATTTTCTCCCATTACATTGACATTCAAAGTCTGAGACAGTTTTCTTATAGAATGTGTCACATTCTATATTTGCCAGATTCTTTTTCTTTTTTTTTTTTTTTTTGTTTGTTTGTTTGTTGTTTTTTAAATACCAGTGATTGAACTCAGGGACACTTGACCACTCAGCCACATCCCCAGCCCTATTTTGTATTTTATTTAGAGGCAGGGTCTCACTGAGTTGCTTAGCACCTTGCTTTTTGCTGAGGCTGGTTTCAAACTCAGGATCCTCCTGTCTCAGCCTCCCAAACTGCTGGGATTACAGGCGTAGCTCCACCGTGCCCAGCAGATTATTTCTTCATGAGTTTATTCACCGGTTTCTGTTGTTGCTGATGTACCTTCATTTATTTTTATTTATTTATTTATATGTGGTGCTGAGGATTGAACCCAGGGCCTCACATACGCCAGGCAAGTGCTCTACTGCTGAGTTACAACTGCAGACCATATTCACTGGTTTTTCTAATCAATTATTAACAGTAAACTGGCAGTTCTAAAGGGTTTATTAGATTTAGGTTAAAAGCTATTAGCAAGAAGACCTCATAGGTGATGATATAACCGGGACTGGAAACCAGGACTGACTCAAAATTCTGGGTGTTTTCAATCACCCAGCCCTACACCACTTTGGAGATAATATTTTGCTAACCTTAGATTATTCTCTTGGACGCTTTTAAGCATCTGGTTTTGCTGACAAGGGAAGTCTTGGCTCCATGGTAACCAGCTTGCAAGATGGCCTCAATGATCCTGTGTGTATTCACACCCAGATGTAGTCCCCCTCGCGCTGCGTCAGGGCTGGTGTGTAGAACACTGGAGCTGACAGTATGTGAGCTGTGTGGCTTCCTAGGCTAGGCCATAAGGGATTGCCCCTGCCTCCCCGGAAGGTCCCTCTCGGGGAAGGCAGCCAGCGCATCAGGAGGACACACAGCAGCCATGTGGAGAGGCTGGGTGATGAGAGCTGAGTCTCCCACTGAATGCCAGCACCACTCAAGAGCCAAACAGGTAAGAACTCTGGAAGTACTCCTCCGGCCCATCAAACCATCCATCGGTGCTAGGCCTCACAAAAGACCCCACCCCAAGACCACCCACCCAAGCCATTCCAGAATTCCTGAGCTCAAAAGCTCTGCAAGAGCCAGCCCAGTGGCTCATACCTGTGACCCATCAAGTGAGGAGGCTGAGGCAGCCAGTCAAAAGTTCAAGACCAGCCTCAGCAACTTAGTGAGACCTTGTCTCAAAATCAAAATAAAAAGGGCTGGGTATGTAGCTCAGTGGTAAGCTCAGAGCCCCTGGGTTCTAACCCCAGTATTCCCCAAAAAAGACTCTTGAGGTTTTTTGTTTGTTTATTTTTTATTTTACTGTGGTAAAAACTTACCCTTGTCACCATTTGAAGTGTACAACTCAGTGTCACTAAGTATAATCACAGTGTTGTGGGACTGTCACCACCACCCCTCTCCAGAACCTTTTCTTCATCCCACGCTGTGCCCATTAAAGGTGGGCTTCCTCCCCCCAGCCTCTCATAGCCACTTTTTTTTTTTTTTTATGCTGAAAAAAAAGGGGTCTATTTAGAATTAGACAGTTGGACTCAATTTAGATGATCCTAATTTTGTTGGCAACGCCCAAAGCCTCCTAATCAGGAACCTGTCCAATGTATGCCCTCTTCTCTCCACCAGGCCTGGTCAGTGCATTACCCTTGGCCACATCGTGTCATAGCTTCTTTACCACTTGTTTGACCTGGTGTTTGTTGGCCTTGACACCCACCGTGAGCACAGGTGTGGTGGCTCGTCTTCTTCAGGGCCCATTCAGCAGTCAGGGGGACTGAAGGTGGCTTAGTGGTCAAGCTTCTTTCTCTTGGGGGTGCTCTAATGAGGATATTTGGGCTGCCTGCCTCCGGAGCCACAGTGTCTTGGGTTGTGGGAAGGTCGGTGACACGCAGATCTTTATGGCTGTGACACCCTTTTCGACACTGCCTTCTTTGCCTTCAAAGCTTTTGCTTTGGCTTCAGTTTTGGGAGGGGCAGGAGCTTCCTTCTAAGCTTTCAACGCTATCTTTGTGAAAAGACTCATAATCACTCCTTTACTTCTGTTTTGGTACTAGGTGCCTCATCTAGGTGAAATCTGTCCTTTTTACAAAAATATTCTCATTGTAGATGGACACAACATCTTTATTTTTATTTGTTTATTTTTATGTGGTGCTGAGGATCGAACCCAGGTCTTCATGCAGGTGAGGCAAGCGCTCTACCACTGAGCTACAACCCCAGCCTCTACATATCTGTCCTTTGGCCTGTTTCACATAGCACAGTGTCTTCAAGGTCCAGCCATGCTGTAGCATGTGTTGACTTTCATTCCTTTTTACAGCTGAATAATACTCCATTTTATGAATACTCTCCCCTTTATTTATGAGGCCAACCCTACTTAGAACTGTAAGCTACCTCGCCCTTTGCAGCTCCTGGGTCTGTCTTTCTGTCTGAGTTTGACCTTGCCCCTGCCATCCTTCAGGAAAGTGAGTAGGCAGGCAAGAAGACAGAGCACTTCAACCCCAGCCTGGCTTGTTAACCTTGGAATTCTGAGATCCAGCTAGATGGCTGAAAGGGGGATTGGATCAGCCTCCCTCTGCCCTTCTCTGTCTTCCACCCAGAACACTTCCCAAGGACCTCCCTCCACAGGCCTCCCCTCCTTGCCCCCACCCCCCTCACCCCCTCCTCATCTTCCTCTCCCCCGGCAGGGCCTTTGCTTGTGCCCCCAGCAGCCCTGCTCTGGTCTCACTGCCCACCTTTATCCCTTCCAGACCACTCTGAAGGACAGGATTTCTCAGGGGTTGACTTGAAACCAAAAGTAAAGTAAAGAATAGAAGACAGGTATTTTGCAGGCTCACAGTTAATTTCCTAACTCCCTGGCCCACCGCCCCACTTCCTGTTGGCAGGTCACTGCCTGGCTTCTTCCTGAATAGCCTCCTCCCCATAGGCAGGCCACACAGTCTCCTTTGTTGGTACAGGAGGTATGTGCAGGGGGGGTGGGTAGTGGGCAAAAAGCCCGCTTCAAAGTGGTCCTGACTTGGCAGACCTGGAGCAGCCTGTGCAAACTAGTTGACACACAGGGTGCGAATCACACCACTGGGGGGGTGGGGGGAACCACAGCCTCCCTGGCCACCATGTGCTCAGCTACATAGTAACTAGACCAGAAGACCTCCTGGGAGTGTCACTGCTTTTAGGGCCCTGGGGAAGGTAGGGACCACCCTGGAGTTCAGCATGAATTCCGGGTCACGCCTTATTTATCAGATGCCACATCACTTGATGTTACTGAGACTGGCCATGATGAGCCTTGTGGGTTGTCCAAGTTTTAGAGGGCGGGGTAGTTGAAGTGCATCTGGAAGTTCTCTCCTTTTTCTCCTGGCTTGCCTTCTGAGACCCGCCTCTGTCTTGGAGTAGAAAACTTCAGGCACAAGTGGATTTTGTTTCCCGCTTCAGTTCACTTCCAGGTCCCCCTTCCGCCCCAGCCCTGGGGAGTCATTATTCCAGCTCCTTCTGTCCCGGCTCTTCTCTGTCACCTTCCTGTGCCCATAACAGTATCCCTCAGTGCAGAGAAGTAAAGCCAAGGCCACATGTGCACCAAGCCAGAGGGCCCCTGCTTCTCCTGCCTTCTTCACAGAGGGCAAAGCCAAGACAATGAAGGTCGAGGGCCTCCGTCCCACCCAGCACAGGCCTCACCCCAGCCAGAGGCCTCCTGCCGTGAAGCTTCAGTCCCACGAGCCACCTGTGCCAGCCTTTCCTTAGACTGACAGCGAGTAGCACCTGTGACACCAGGTCTCCCCGGACACGCAGGCTGTGGGAATTGTCCCTGGGCTGTGCGCCTTGACCACTGTCCATACTCCTTCTGCCACAAGTGTGCTGCAGGTGACCTCGCTGTGATGCCATCTGTCCACACAGTCCTACTGGCTGCTAGAGGCAGGCGGCTCAAGTGGGCAGAAGTGAGCACAGATCGGGTGGATTAAGTGAATGAGGGGAGAGTATCGGAGCCCACACCTGGACTGTGGGCCCCTACTGCACCCAGAGAACTTGCCCAAACTGCCCTTGTCGCCCGGATTCAAGCATGACGATCCTAGCCCCTTGGGGCTGCCATAATAAGATAGCAGACTGGGTGGCTTAAAAATGACAGAAACTTAATTCTGGAGGCTAGAAATCTGAGATCAGGGTGTTGCCATGGCAGGGTGCTGGTGAGGGCTCTCTGCCAATTGCTGACTGCCAACTTCTAGTTGTACCTTTATGTGGCAGAGGAGAGCTGGCTCTCTGGTCTCTTCTTACAAGGGCACTAGCCCTGTCCATGAAAGTTCTACCCTCACAACTTAATTACCTTCCAAAAGCCCTACTTCCAAAACACCCTGACATTGGGATCAGGGTTTCAACATATGAATTTGGGGGGGACACAGACTTTCAGTCCATTGTCACAATTTCAGCTCAAAAGAGTGGCAGAGCTTGGGTCAAAAGCCTGGACATCTCCTATTTCATGAACAGGAGGACTTCTTTGAAATTCACTGTTTCTTTGTTCCAAGGGTATTAACATTTACTAAAAAGAGCATCTTTTCTTGGATTAAATATTAGCTATTCTAAAACTTTGTTTTACAGTAGAATGACTCAAACAAAGCTTTCCTATGTTCAGGTATGAGTACACAACCAGTGTAACTCCATGTCATGTTGAACCACAAGAATGGGAAGCTATACTCCCTGTATGTAAATATGTCAGAATACATTCTACTGTCATGTTTAACTAAAAAGAACAAATAAAATTTTTTAAAATAAAAATTAATTTTTAAAATATTGACAGCAAATTACATTCGTAATTATTCTGTCCTCAGACATAGATCTGGGTCATCAGGACAATTAGTGCCACATCCAGAAATCTAGGGAACAGCCACCTGCTTGCCCCAGGCCCCTGAAGTTATAACTTTGTAGTCAGTTTGCATGACCCACACAGTCAGTCACCTTGAAGTGGACAGGAAGTGGTTAGGATGCCCATGGACAGCCAGACAGTGCTGTTTGACATAGTTGTTTTGCACAAGGGACCAGGTTCCTCCTTCCCCGGGAGGGAGTTGTGGTGAGTGGCTCCAGGATGCGTAGAACAGCAGCTCTCGGCCGTGTCTCCCCCTGAGTCTCTCTATCTTGTAAAGCAGCAGTTTGCCGTGAGCTAGTCCATTGTGAGGAGCAGTGCCAAGGACCTTGTGTGCAAGTGAGCAACCACCATCCGCCTGGCACAGCCAGGAGGCTCACAGTGACAAAGAACTGATGTGTGCACCTTCTCAAACCAACCCAGGACACCTGGACACCTCCCAGATCACATCAGGAACCCCAGGCAAGGAGCTCACAGCCTCACCAGATGACACCCCCTCACCTCAGACCCATAAAAGGAGGAGCCCCCCCCAAGACTGGACACTCTAGCATGCTGACCCAGTCACCTGGCCACTTCTTGATACTTGCCCAGGAAAATCATAGCAATAAACCTCTGCCCCCAGCTTCAGCTCAGCATGATTTCCCTGCCTGCGACCATGATGCCCAGCCCACTCCAGGCTCACATCTCAAGCTGACGCTCTGAAATTGCCGTCCATCCTGACCCTAGGATCAGTTCTGTACTCTGACACCCTGCACCCTGGATTGCTCGCTTATCTGGCCACCAGCCTCAACTTGCCTTCATACCTATCTGCTCCCGGCCTCTGCTTTCATCTCAGCCTCCTGAGCCCCAGTGGCTGCCTACGCCCTCCCTTAGTCATCCTGTGACCCACACTATTCAGTGAATTGCAGCCGCTGAGAGTGGTGCAGCTTATAAAGTTATGGTTATTCAGTAAACTCTGACATTGTGGAAAGACACAAATGTGTGTGGACTGTTAATGGCAGCATCACTCACTCAATAGGAAGATACATGTTAAGCCCAGATCCCAGCCAATTATGGCAAAAGCCATAATTCCAGAATGTTCCTATTGGAGATGTCAGCCATTGAGGAGCCATTTCCAGGGTGCCCTGAGAATCAAGCAGGCAGCTCGGTGCAGAGCATTTCAGATGGATGGTTTTCCTTGTGCTCAAACAATCCCTGAAAGGGGGTTGAAGCGTGATGTGTCCCTTTACACGGGTTTGAACTGACATTTACACTTCTTCATTGTAAGTGCAGTAGTTGTGTAACCAAATGTGGTGGGTTCACCTCTTGGTGTGTGCAAAGCAAATAATCACAACCAGAAGATAAAGAATGAAGAAAGGCTTGTTGCTCCCAGCAAGTAAGGAGAGCACGGGAAGATTTTGCAAGCAGCTTCTCCCCCAGCAAAGACACATCCACACAGGAAACACTGATCACCATCATCTCACATAAGGTGGCACATTCCTGAGCATGCTCAGTTCCAGGGCATGCTGCATAAAAGGGTGACCAGGAATGCCTGTGGGAGGAGAAGTTAGCATTATAATGAGCAAAGTTCATTCTAGATCACCTAAAAAGAATGAATTTGGGGAATTTCAGCTGGTTCCTTTTGAGTTTCTCCAAAGGGCCTGATCTGAAACAAACAAAACCAACTTCAAGGCTACATTGATGGTCGTTTAAAGAGCCCGCAGCCTCCTCCACCCCCCAAGCACCTCCCTAGAAGTTGTGGGAATTTCATTTCCATCAGTTTGCAAATAGTGGCCTGAAAAAACCACAACTGGTGCTTCTAACTCTTGGCATCTAGAACCTATAGACTTCAGTGTGTTTCTAACACGGATTTGAAAATTTGGGTTGATTCCTTCTAATCTGCAGGTGTTGGCAGGACTGTAATCTGATTTGTTTTTGTTTGTTTTAAGTGGTTTATTTTGGTTGGTAGCAGCTACTGAAGGAAATGCAAGGAGAGAAGAGAGAGATATGGCCCTCCACCTGGAATGTGCCCCCAGCCCCTACTTCAAAGAAGACTCACCTTCTCCCTCAGGGAGAAGCAGCTGCTGCCAGAGGGACACTCTGCCTGGACCAAAACCCTTCCCGGTTGTGGGAGTGAAATGGAGATCCACACAGAACGCTTAGGTGGGCTCTAGAACTTTGGAAGCACTAGATGACTAGTAGTTGCTGTCATTGTGGTTTAACAATCCCCTGTGACAAACGCTCACATCGTCTCCAGTTTTCCCTGTTATAAGCAAAGCTAGGTGCAACCCCTTGTGTTTCTCCCATAGAGTCACAGTCCAAGGGGTACACATTCGAGACTCGAGACTCAGCTTGGTGCTGCCAAGTGGCCGGTCAGACTGGCGGCCAGTCACCCTCCAGCCTGGCTATCAATCTCCTGGAGGTGGAAACTAACATTTCCTTATTGTCTTACTGTGAATTTTTTAAAATAAATTTTTAAAATTTTTTTTAAAGAAAGAAAAATTACACTGAACCAGTGAACGTTAAAGTTCATGCCAGGTGCTGGCATGGGCACATGGTGCCCACGTGGAATCCCAGTGGCTGGGGAGTCTGAGGCAGGTATCACAGGAAGCCAGTCTCAGCAATTTAGTGAGGCCTTAAGCAACCTTGTGAGACCCTGTCTCAAAATAAAACGTTTTTATAAAAGGGGGGTGGACTGGGGACGTGGCTCCATGGTTAAGTGCCCGAGTTCAAACCCCAATACAAAAAAAAAAGCCACCCTGGGGTAACTTAGGAAGACTGGTGAAGGTCGCTTGCAGCCTGGTGGTAAAGCGCCCCTAGGTTCAGTATCCAGTACCAAAAAATAGAAATAAAGTTCTTTGTGTCTTAACCACATTTCTGTTCCCCCATGCACCCCTGACAACCCCACTTTTTCTAGAGGCAATACTACCATAAATTTGGCCCATAGTGTTCCAGTCTTTATAATTTCACATCCATTAACAATATAACATATTGCTTTTTAAATATTTTGTGTACACCTGAAAAGTTGTTGGGTGTTTTAGAGATGTCAGGTTAAGTTTGTTGCTTTATCAGCCATTAAGAGAAGTGCATTTCCTGTGATAAAACGAATCCATCCTGGTGCTAGAGAGTGAGGAATCAGGGAGAGAGAACAAAATCAGCCCTGTCCTAACCCACCAGAACTAATCTAGCTGCATTTCTCTCCCTTAGAATTTTTCAACATTTAACATTTTTTAACGCGGGCAACTCTTGTCTCTGCCTGCCTGGCCACACCCCTATCCGTAATTAGCAACTCCTTGGATTTACTTTTGGGGACCACCCTCGCCCATTCCATTTCCCCCAAAGTGACCAGAAGGATCTCTCGAGATGAAAACCTGACCCTCTGCTTCCCTGGGCTGCAGGCTGCAGGCTCGCTGCTTCCCTGGCACCCAGGCCCTCCACATCCTGCCCCACCAGTCCCGAGGCCTCAGCCAGTCCACCCACGTGCTCTGCCTTTTCTGTTCCCCACCTTGGGTCTGCTCGTCGCTGCCCTGAGCACATCATGCAGTTCGCCTGGTTCTCGCTCACTGATCCCAGCTCGTCCCTCCCTGTCCCCTGCCTCCTCCTGCAGCTCAGACATCTTCTCTGCTGAGGAAGAGCTGTGCCCATCCCAACCACTGGTGTGTGGCGCTTATTCAGCCAAACAGGTGCCCCGTGCCTGCACTTTGCCACCTCGGGAGGTTCCCCGAGTGCAGGCACCTGCCAGGATGGCAGTGTGACCAGTGTCCAGTGGCAGCGATGTCAGCAGGGGACCTAAGCAGACAGCTGGAGGCGTGGCCTTGGTTGGCACTTCCGCAGTTCCTGGAATTTCCTGAGCCAGGTTTTCAGATTTCCCCCATCAATTCCAGCCGGGCTCTTTACACGAATTATTTCCTGCTTCAATCAGTGGAAGTTGCGGGCAACCGGGAGCCCTGGCATCCACTGGAGCAAGCCCCCTCCACAGTGTGCTCAGGATACCACCCTTGGTGTCCTCTGTGCTATGGTCTGCCGTCCCTCTGGGTTGGGAGATCTTCAGGTGTTATGGCCTCTAATCCCCAGGGCCTAGCCCAGATGCTCTGTGTTTGTTGACTAGATCAACTCGTCGTATGGCTTTTGCCAGCTCTGATCCCAATGGTTGCAAGCAGGTGACCATCTCCGGGTGCCTATCTCGCGCTCAGTTTCAGGGGTGCTCGGGTCAGCAAGCACCACCGACTCCCCACACAGCGCTCTCTCCCCAGGAGCCTGAAGAGCAGGAGGAAGGGTCTGGCTCCAGGCCGCGGCTGCACGCACCCCTAGGAAGCAAAAGCCCCTAACCCAGTGGGGCGGAGTCCCCTGGGATTCTGTCTCCCACCCAGCTCCTCCCGGACTCTCATCACAGCAAAGGTCCTGAGGAGTCCTGCGGGAAGGAAACCAGGGTCACTTAACGGGAACAGGTGGCCTCCCCCAGCCCCTCCTTGGGCACACCTCCTGGGCTGCCCCTGGGGCCTCTGCTGTCCAGCTGCAGGAGGAGAGGCAGAAAGGAAGGCTTTCCCTCCCCCCAAGACCCCAGCCTCCCTCGCTGGGCTTTCTGGAAAGCGGAGGGACCAGGTGGGTCCAACTTCTTTTCCAGAGCCGTGGCTGCAGAGAGAGGACAGCGTTTGCACCAGAGCAGATCTGTGATTCGTCCTTCGTTCCCCCCGGGCCCCCTCCCACTCTGGGGCCCGCAGTGGGCCCAAGTCTCAGTGGGCCATGGCCAAGACCACGGCTGACACTTGGGAGCACTCTCTCAGTGCAGCATTCCCAGTGAGAGTTTTTGTCTCACAGGTGACATTGCTAGCGAGGATGGTTTTGGTGCTGGGACAAAACCCAGGGCCTCCCGCGTTCTGTAGTCAAGTGCTCTGTCACTGAATGCAGTGAAGGGACACTGGAGGAGCAAGCCGGGGTGTGTGTGTGGGGGGAAGCTTGGCATGGGGGGGGCTCCTAAGCCTTCCCCTGGTGTAAATGCAGGACCCGTATGGAAGGGTGTGCCCCCCACACAGCGTCCCTCCAGTTCATGGTCACTTCATCCTTCAATTTAGGGACAGACGGTACCCTTGCCCTCCTCCCACTTAGAAGCTGCAGACTCCCCCCTCAGCCTGCTCTCCAGGAGCTGGGCCAGGAGGTCGCACCGCTGGTGCCCACCAGGGGGAGCCCTCAGCATGGACGGTGGCTCCAAGGTGGCCATTCCCTGGTGACAGGCAGCAGGAGAACCTCCCCCACTGCTGTCTAGCAACTGGAGAAACTTGTTCTGAAGCAGAGGAGCCAGGGGAGGAGCTCGGGCTTTACACCGAGGGCTGAGGACAGTGACGCTGCTGCTATCGAGAAGACATCAGGGGAGGCTGAGGTGGAGGATAGTGAGCTCAAAGCAGCACAAGAAGAAGCGAGGAGCTAAGCAGCTCAGGGAGACCCTGTCTCTAAATAGACTTAGAAATAGAGCTGGGATGGGGGTCAGTGGTTGAATGTCCCTGAATTCAATCACTGTAACGAAAAAAAGGACATTTTTTGTTGTTGTTGTAGCAAAGGAGACACTCTGAGTCCAGTCACAGCTATTGATACAGTCACAATAAACAGCAAAAAAGTGTGTGCATTTGGGAACTGGCCGGACCTGAGTGAGCTCCTCTCTACACTGGCTGCTGGCCCAGTCAGCCTCTCCCACCTCCACTGGCTGGTCTAGATGGAGGGCCTGGAGCTGCGTGTTTCTAAGTGGTTTTTTGTTTGTTTGTTTGTTTGTGCTCCAGCCAGCTTTGATTTCCAGTCCTATGGTGTGTACGGAGTTGTGTCCTACTTATGAAGTCCACCTGTCCCTGGAACAGTGGTGGCATGAGGTGGGCCCTCAAAAAAGGTGGTGCACATCTGTAATCCTAGCAGCTCAGGAGGCTGAGGCAGGAGGATCACAGGTTCAAGGCCAGCCTCAGCAATGTAGTAAGGCCCGGTCTCAAAATAAAAACTAAAAAGGCCTGGG